CTGTTGCAGGTGATGCATGAGAAGTACCTTTGTGTGGAGGATTCCTATGGTGGGCTCAGACGGATCCTCGTTCTTATCGCTAGATGTTTATTTTAAATTTCGCTGTTTATCATTCCGCACTCTGACATTTGGTAATGTAATAATATAATTTTTAAGAAACTCGGATGTATGAAATGGACCTGTATTGTAACGCGTTCTCATTATTGGATCCTTGGAAAAAATGTGGATCTTTCGGGTTCTCTCTTGGGGTGTGTCCGACGGATACCGCCCGCTGTAGCTTGCTTTCGGGGTGCTTAGTGCCTAGTGGAGGGCGAGCACCTCCGTAAGCGTGTTATTTCGGGTGGTTTTGCCACAAACTCATACGGTGTTTTGGGCACCGACTTGCTTGACACTCGATTAAGAATATGAATGGCGGTTTTTAACGTCTCCCTCCATAAACTTATTGGTAGAGTAGAGTAACTTATTATGCTTCTCACCGTATCCATTAAGGTACAATTGCGTCTTTTAGCTACTTCATTCTGCTGAGGCTCGTCCGGTGTAGAATACTGGGCAACTATACCATTTTTTCTGTAGGAACCTTGCAAAAGGTCCAGGAACTTGGCCATATGGGGTATATCGACCATAGTACTCTTCCCCACGGTCGGACCTTACTACCTTAATCTTTAAGTTGTGCTGATTTTCTACTTCAGCCTTGAATATCTTAAATTTATCCAATGTTTCCGATCTTCCTTAATTGGATAAATATAGTCAAAACGAGAATAATCATCTGTGAATGTTATAAATGAATTATAACCATCCACACTTTTCACAGGAAAAGGACCATAGATGTCTATGTGAACTATTTCTAAAATTCCTGCGCTTCATTTGACATCTTTCTTTATTTTCTTAACGTACTTTTCTTTTATTCAATCTATGCACTGTTCTAAATCTAAAAATTCTAAAGGCGGAAGAATTATTTTCTTAATCAATCGCTCTATTCTTCCCCTCGAAATATGGCCTAAACGACAATGCCATAATTTTGAAGATACATCATAAACTCTCTTCCGCTTATTTGTTGCATTCATAGATGAGAAAGCATTCTCATTCTCAGTGCTCACATCATTCACATTCTCAAAAAGTAATAATAAATAAAGCTTGTCTTGTCGAAAGGTAAGACCAACACATTTATTATTAATCATAATCTGACATTTGCCATTACCAAAATAGTAATCATATCCATCATCATCTAATCTTGAAACACTTATCAAGTTTCTGCACAATGAGGGTACATAAAGAATATCTAAAAGCTGAAGTCTAAAATCATCATCTAATTCTAGAGAGAGATCTTCAATGGCCTCAACTTCAGTTGCAACTCCATTTGCAACTTTAATTCTTCTTTCTCCTCTTTGCAGGGTCCTCCTCGTACAGAATCCCTGTAATGAATTTGCAACATGAACAATTACTTTTGAATCAATCCACCAATTAGATTTTGCATAACTTAAATACAATGACTCATCTATGAATGTAATGAAATCCTCACCTCTCTTCAGAAGGCTCTTCAGGAAGTCTGGACAGTCCCTCTGGTAATGTCCATGCTTCTTGCACCATTTACACTGATCCTTTTCAACTTGAGCATTATTGTTCTTCTGATGGTGGTCATTCTGAGGGGCTTTCTCTTGAGGTTTGACATTCTCGTTGAAGTTCTTCTTTTTGTTATCCTTCACAAGGTTAGCAGAATCACCTTGTGAGCTTTTCAGCCTTTTTCTCTTCTTGAACACACATTACGATGAGCTTCTCTATATCCCACTTATCGAGCTGCATATTGTACTTCACAACAAAAGTTTCATATTCTTTGGGCAAGGAAGCAAAAATTAAATAAATCAGGAACTCATCCTTGAGCCTCAAATTCATTGGCTTCAGCTTTGAAGCCGTGTTGCTCATCTTTAGTATGTCTCTCTGATACTGCCACCAGTGTATTTCTCATTGAACAATTTCTTGATCAAAGTACTGCATAAGCCTTTGAAGAGCCAGTAAACTGACTCTCCACTTTCTTAAGATACTCTGTAGCGGTATCACAATCTAGGATAGATCCTCTTATCGCATCTAAAATAGTGGACTTAGCCACCATCAAGCACTTGCGGTTTAAAATGTTCCATTTCTTACGTTCGAGATCATATTTCATCCGTACTTCTGCATGATCTCGCTGCCGAGCAGTGAAATCAGCATCAAACTCATTTTCTTCCCTCACTGGGTCCACCGGCTCAGTAGGACACAGAGAGGTAAGCGCTAGGTCATTTTTAGACAGCGCAAGTGCTAGTTCATACTTCTCTCGCCATACCCTATAGTTGCCCCCTTCAAAAGGCGGTATGTGCGAGATAAAATCCATTGGGTTGAGTCCTGAAAAACACCATCAGAGATAGTGAGAAAAATATGACATAATAATTGCATGCCTTAATTTAATGTTGGTCAAAATTAAAACATGCAACTTTCTTATACATTAATTCTATATCACTGTTGGGCAGAAATAAAATTAATGCATGGAAAACTTTTGAATGAACATTATAATATTGCTATTATCAACGTTGGTCAGAAAAATAACAATATTACAATTTACTGACAAAATTACTGCTCTTCAAATTAAATTCTCTCGTTGGTTCGAATTTAATTGAAAGATAATAAACTTTAACATTGCAGCGGAAAACATTAAACATATTTGATGAATTTTACTCACAGGAAAATTCTCTTGCTAATTTTCTTGAGCCTCTAATCATTTTCCAGAAAATCACATTTTATGGAAAAAAGAAAAAGAAAAACTGGGCTCAAACTCTTCACTGCTGCTCGGCCCAGCGGCAAAAACCGGCCCGACCTGCTCTGCTCACGCGCGTGCGGCGCCTTCTAGGCCACAACCTAGGCCTGGGCCAGCAAAGCCGTCCGCTCGCGCGCTCCCGCCTGGGCCGGATCCCGGCCCGATCATTCGCCATCGTTGGATGGAGATCGACGGCGGGGCGATGATCTCGGTGGAACAAAACCGCGCGGCCGGCGCTCTCCCCCGAACCCTAGCCTCATTTCGTCTCTCCCCTTTCTCTCTCTCTGTCTCAGCGGCAGCCACCGACCGAGTGAGCGTAGAGAGCCCTCGGAGCTGAGAGAGAGAAGGTGGCGCCGTCGCTGGCCCCTCGCCGACGCGCGCGCTCCCTACTGGGTGAGCGCGTCGCCGTCGAGCGGCCTAGCCACGACGCCCTAGCACGTCGCAGTTCACTGGCGCGGAGGCCTTTCCCGGGGTGATCCGGTGAGTGGAGGCCGGCGAGGTAAGCAGCCTCCCTAGCCCTTCCCCTTTCCCCTTGATCTTCTCTATTTGGATCTTCTTTCTTTTCTTCTCGAAGCTGGTCTGATTTAGGGTTAGGGTTTGGGTTAGCCCTACTGTTCATCTTCCCCGTCTGTCTTTACGGGTTAGGGTTCGAGTTGTTCTCGAAACCGAGACCCCCTTTGCTATTCTTTTCTTCACCGCGATTAGGGTTAGGGTTCGCATCGAACCCTTTGCTTACATCCGAATTGGATCTCTCACCTCCTTCTAATTGCTGCTACCCCTGCCAAATCTACACCTAGATATCGGCTCTGATACCATTGTTAGACCTTAGGGATCATTTAGGTGCAGATAGGAGGGTGAAACTCTTACTGGTTGAATCAAATTAGACCTAAAACTTGCTACGGAAGAGGGAGACAGAGAGAGATGTAAGAGCATCTGACCATCGGCTTGGGAGGATGACGAGCCGTCCATGGCGTAGTCGTCCCGAAGGGTGTCGGAGTAGTAGAAGCAGGGGAGTCTGGTGTGTCGAAGACGTCCGGCGTGGCGCAGAGGCTGTGGTGGCGCTTCCCGTCGCTGGCAGCGCCCCCTTTCTAGATCGAATTAGGGTTTGGGATGTCGGTGGGGTGTCTGACGGTTAGGTGAACCTCGTGCATTGTGCCCGGCCCCCACCTCCCTTTTTATGGCGCTGTGTGATGGGGTTCACCAACCATAGAGCGGTTGGGCGCCCCCGATCAGGGCGCGAATCCAAAGACCCAATTAACCGTTGGACCAATGAAAGAGATCAATCAACATCAAGTAGTTCATATGAAATAATTTAGTGACTACTTTTAGAGCACATTTAGGTTGCTCTAAGGTGATGATAGGCTCTTAAAGCCTGAGAGGGGAGGGGAGGGGAGGGGAGGCCCACGGAGGAGTGGGGGTGGGGGAGGAGGAAGAGCCACTTGCGTGCTGGCCTCTCCCACTGTCGTGACTGGTGCCACCTCCCCTCCTCCTTTCACCTGCTTGGCCGCTTTTCTCCCCTTTCCCCTCCTTCCAATCAGACCAATCTCCTCGTCTCGTCTCCCCCAGCACCAATACCATCCCTCTGCTCCGGTGTTCCGGCTCTCCCACCCCCCACTAGCTTTAGCTTCTTGTTCACCTGTGCTTTTGCTGTTGCTGTTGCTGTTGCTGTTCCCGTCTCCCCATTGCTTGTGCCTTCCCCTCACTAGTCGTCTCGTCCCGTCTCGTATCCTCTCCCCTCTCCCACCTGCCGCTGCCGCCGCCGCCCTGCTCGCCCCTCCCACCCTCTGGTCAAAGCCAGCGGCTCCCAAGATTTGCCGCTGCTTCCTTCCTGGAGGAAAATCAAGCCTGAGCGGCGAGAAATCAAGGAGGAGGGAGGGACAGAAGCAAGAGGAAAGGAAGCCAGCCCCTTGCGGCCGTGCCTGCTCCCTCGTGGCATTCAATTGGCGCCAACAGTGGGCGGGTGGGCGGCTGCTACAGCACGGCGGCCTCCATAAACTAGCTCCCCCGCGTCGGCCCCTTCCGTCCCCCGGTCGTCTCGCCCCGTGTCTCCACCGATCGGTCCGTCGATCACGCGGACGCCGCCGGAGCATGCGCGCCGCGGGCCTCTGCCGCCGGAGAAGAACCAGCAGCCGCCGTAGCCTCAGCGCCGCCGCCAGCGGCGTCCGGGAGGAGATGTAGCTCTAGCTCCGCGACCCGTGAGGAAAGGGAAAGGGGAATGACCGTTACGGCGCGCGGGAGGAGCGGCGGCGGGGCCGGGATGGAGGAGAAGTGCGACGCGCCGGGGCTCGGCTTCCTGGGCCTCGACCGGATGCGCGTCCTCCTGCCGCCGCTCCGCCTGCCGGAGAAGCTGTCGGCCAGCAGGACGCTGCGGACGCACCTCTTCACCAACTACCGGATGCGCAAGGTGCGGGACAGCTCCAGGTGGCTCATCCCGCTCTGGGTCAGCATCTGGGTCTTCATCGCCTCCCTCATCTACCTCCGGATGAGCTACCAGGCCGTCGAGAAGCGCCGGGAGTTGCTCGCCATCATGTGCGACGACCGCGCGCGCATGCTCCAGGACCAGTTGAACGTCAGCATGAACCACCTCCAGGCGCTCGCCATCCTCGTCTCCACCTTCCACCACTCCAAGACACCCTCCGCCATCGACCAGGTAGGTGGTACCTCAATCCAAATTCAAGCAAGATTTCTCCGTCATCGGACGTGGCGAAATCACCCTTTCCTGTCGTTGCTGCAGAAAACGTTCGCCTGGTACGCGGAGAGGACGGCGTTCGAGCGGCCGCTCACGAGCGGGGTCGCGTACGGGGTGAAGGTCACGCACGCCGAGCGGGAGCAGTTCGAGCGCCAGCAGGGATGGAGCATCAAGAAGATGTACTCCTCCAAGACCAAGAAGCAGTCGCAGGGACCAGGAAACGCCGAGGACGCCGAGGTGCGGGAGCCGGCGGAGGAGTATGCTCCCGTAATCTTCGCGCAGGACGCCTACAAGCACGTCATCTCCTTCGACTTGCTATCCGGCGCCGTGAGCATTCGCTCTTCCCTACCCTCCCCTCGCAAGATTTCATCTTTTTCACAGAGCAGGCGCACGGCCGTAAAAAAAGCTGCAATCTTTGGTGTTCACCATGTGCTCACCAGTCATCATCTGTTGCTACCCCTTTTTCACCTCGGATTTTTTCCCTTTCTTTTTAATCCGGGGCTCAATTACATATGGTAAAAAAAAAATCCACGAGCAACAGGGGCTATCCATCCACTAATCTCTATTCCTCCTTTTGCTCTTATTACAGGATGACCGCGACAACGTGCTCCGAGCTAGAGAATCTGGGAAGGGTGTTCTTACTGCTCCTTTCAAGCTGCTCAATAATCGCCTCGGAGTGATCTCCACCTACGCTGTGTACAAGTATGAGCTTCCCCCAAATGCCAGGCCACAGGAGCGCATTCAGGCTGCTATAGGGTAAGCTTTTCATGAGTCCGGCCTCCTATTTCCAGTCAGGAATCGTGCAACTGAATTACCGCTGGCCTTTTTTTTTGTGTGTGTGTGTGTGCAAACAGCTATTTAGGTGGCATATTTGACATTGAAGCGCTTGTTGATAAGTCGCTTCACCAGCTCGCGGGCAAGCAATCCATCATGGTGAACGTGTATGATACTACTAATGAGAAACCGATCAGTATGTATGGTTCGAATGATACAGGCAGTGGCATGTGCAAGGTCACACTGAACTTTGGTGACCCGACAAGGAAGCATGAGATGCACTGCAGGTGATTTATTTCTTCTTCTAAGAAACCTGTAATTAAAATATGTTACCCCTGTAGTCTATTCTTTGTAAGGCTCTGTGTCTCATCTGTTTCTCTTTAATAGGTTCATTCAGAGCCCACCTTGGCCTTGGCTGGCAATAACGACATCAATTGGAATTTTTGTGATTGGTTTACTGGTTGGATACATAATTTATGCTACTGCAAAACGGATTGCCAGAGTTGAAGATGACTTTCAGGAGATGAGTCTGCTCAAGAAGCGCGCAGAGGATGCAGATATTGCCAAGTCACAGGTGATTAGCTTCGCTACTAATAATAGCTATGCATGTTTTGTGTTACTGTTTCTCTTGGAGGCCAAAGGCTTGTTCTTTTCTCTCTCTTTTTTGAGATAGGGATAAAAAAATGGTACCTTATTAATTCAATGCCGTCTTTGCATGCAGTTCTTGGCTACTGTTTCTCATGAGATTAGAACTCCAATGAATGGTGTTCTAGGTGAGGTTCTAGTCCATCTAAATTGTACAATAGTAATCTTCATTATTAATTAGAGTGAAAGGAGATATGATGTTTCCGATTTTGCAGGGATGCTCCAAATGCTCATGGATACTGATTTGGACACAACACAACAAGACTATGTTAGAACCGCACAAGCCAGTGGCAAAGCTTTGGTATCTCTCATCAATGAGGTTCTTGATCAGGCAAAGATCGAGTCTGGTAAACTTGAGCTTGAGGCAGTACCCTTTGATCTTAGAACAGTTTGTGATGACATTTTGTCTCTCTTCTGTGGGAAAGCTCAGGAGAAAGGACTGGAGGTAATCAAAGATTACAGCCTTGCTGTCACACCCTGCAGTTTTACTGTATTTTATTATAAGTGCAGTGACTTTATTTTGGTTATTCCTTACTATATCGCTCAACGGGTGCAGTTGGCAGTGTTTGTTTCTGACCAAGTTCCACAAACACTAATTGGCGATCCTGGCAGAATAAGGCAAATCATTACAAATCTTGTCGGAAACTCTATAAAAGTAAGATAATCACTATACATCAATAGCAAATGGAAATAGGATAACCCCTTGTATATTTATATGCATTTGTTCTTTATTGGCTAAAGAGTTCTATATTTTCCACAGTTCACGGAGAAGGGTCATATCTACTTGACTGTTCATGTCGTTGAGGAGATTATGCATTGTTTGGAGGTTGAGACCGGAACTCAATATGCAAATACCTTAAGTGGGTACCCAGTGGCAAACAGGAAGCGCAGTTGGGAAAACTTTCGACTTTTTAGTAGGGAACTGAACTCATCCGAGATGCCTTTTGCAACCAGTGCATCGGACTCAATAAGCTTGATAATATCAGTTGAAGATACGGGTGTTGGAATCCCGTCCGATGCTCAGTCCCGTGTCTTCACCCCTTTCATGCAAGTAGGTCCATCCATTGCTCGCATCCATGGGGGCACTGGCATTGGATTAAGCATCAGCAAATGCTTGGTCGGCCTCATGAAGGGAGAGATTGGATTTGCAAGTAAACCCCAAGTCGGTTCTACTTTCACCTTCACTGCGGTGCTTACGAGGGCCCATTCCAGCGTAAACGAGAATAAATCGTCAGAGTTTAAAGGGATCAATGCATTGGTGGTAGATCATAGACCGGTCCGTGCGAAGGTTACTAAGTACCATTTGCAGAGATTGGGAGTTCACAACGAATTGACAACTGACCTAGATCAGTACATTTCTAAAATTAATTGTGGATCACAGATTGCAAAGCTTGTGCTCATTGACAAAGAAACTTGGCTGAAGGAATCCCACTCTCTGCCTCTTTTGGTTACTAAATTGAGGAACAAAGATCAACCAGACTCTACAAAGTTATTTCTTTTGGAGAACCCTAAAAGTTCTGTCAAAAGCAATTCTCATATATTCAGGGAATATAACTTGAATGTAATTATGAAGCCACTTCGTGCAAGCATGCTTCAGGTTTCCCTACAAAGAGCATTGGGTGGGATAGATAAACTGCATTGCAGGAATGGGGTAGTTGGCAATTCAATACTGGGCAGCCTTCTTCGCAAGAAACAAATCATAGTGGTTGATGACAACATTGTAAATCTCAAGGTTGCTGCAGGCGCTCTGAAGAAATATGGCGCAGAAGTAACTTGTGCTGATAGTGGGAAGAAAGCAATCACACTGCTGAAACCTCCTCACAGTTTTGATGCTTGTTTCATGGACATACAGATGCCCGAAATGGATGGGTGAGTTTTATCTTTGAATACTCATCATCTTACCATACTTTAGACACTATCTGTACCTATATTCAGTTGATACACAATACTTGCTCTTGTCATAGATTTACATTTTCTTGTTCTCTTGTGTCATGCATTTGGTACCTTTGCAGATTTGAAGCCACAAGAAGGATTAGAGTGATGGAAAGAGATCTAAATGAGCAAATAGAACGTGGAGAAGCCCCACCGGAATGCGCAGGGGTCCGGCAGTGGCGAACTCCAATATTAGCCATGACAGCAGATGTTATCCAGGCGACACACGAACAATGCTTAAAATCTGAAATGGACGGTTATGTTTCCAAGCCATTCGAGGGCGAGCAACTGTACAGAGAAGTAGCTCGCTTTTTCCTAAATCAAGACCAAGTTCAGTAGGTAGGCTTATATGGAGTGTAAAATAGCGGAGGATATCGACAACGGTTCACCCGTCGAGGCTGAAAGAATTTTGTCAGAGATCCCATGTTCTTGAGAGTAAGTTCTTGACTTTTCTAGTTTCTTGGGAGTTCATTTTCCCCTAGTTTCTTCTTTCTTTTTCCTGCTGTAACATGTCTGGCTGTTGTTATGCAGAGTCATATCATGGAAAGTGAACTAAAATATAAATGAGTAGCAACGATTGTGGGTCAATTCTTTCAAATGGTCAATATCATTTAAGTTTTACATCACCATTGCTTCACATTGCTACAGGTGGGCATCAATTCACAGAGTTAGGGGCCCTATTAAAACACTAGAAATGCTGGGATGTGGCCTCCAGTTAGGTAAACTTATTCTGAATATCACTGTTTAATAGACATGTCAAGGCTTATATTAAGAAAAAGCAATACTTAATCGATTTAAGAATCAAAATAGTGCAGCTTGACAACTATCAAGATCTAAAAAGCTTACTATTATCTTGGCACCACCTTCTTTTTTGTTGAAGTTGTTGGTAGGGGTTCTGAAGAACTCTGATGCTTTCTTAAAGCAAGCTCTGATGTCAATATTTTAGAGCTCATCAATCATTATTTTAAGTCCATGGAATCCTTCAGTTCTCATGTTATGATTCTTCTCATTCTTTCAGGTGGAAACACTTTAGGCTGGAGATGGAACCAACCCATGTTCAGTTCCTTGGTACACCTGACCAAGCTGCAAAACTAAATGCGCAATGTCTTGAAATCAAGATGCATGTGCAGTTATTTACTCGACAATTTGCTGAGGTCAAGGCGTGTAAAAAAATTCAGCTGCATTCACTGACTGCAGATGTCCTCTGCCACTATAATATAGAGTAGGGAGAGAAGTTTTCCTTCCCCCCGAAGGTTCGGCTGTACATATTAGGTATTGGTTGTTTGTGCAGGCATTTCTTGGCATTTTGTATGCATCGTCTTCGGTCTGTATGGGTCGAAGCTGTAAATTGTAAATGACACATTCAAAGATGGAAATTTTGTTTGACAAAACATCAGTCGCCATCAGCTTGTCGTCCTGAGTTTCTCTCCTGCTACTGGTTCTCTCAACCAGCCAATAATTACACTGAAAACTGCCTGTTGGTGTGGCTTTATCTGATGAAATGGCTTTTGCCTGATGTCACGGAGCTTGTTTAATTTGTGGTCTGGAGCATATTGCGACGGTACCTAACTGCCGCAATATGTTAATCGCCCCAAAAGGTCCAAAGTGATGCACTTGATTGCTGCTGTTTAAACTAATGCCAGTGGTTACAAACGCCTAATCCTCTGGTTTTTTTTTTTCTGAATGGAGCCTGCCAGTCGCTTTATGTTTGTCCGGTTCAGTGCTTTACACCAGTGGCTCGCACCCTGCCTGATTGTTTATTCTGTTGGCAGTTGCTTGAACCATCTGAATTCTGATCATGAGACTACGGGAGAAGTTTAATGCTAGGAGGCTTCTTTGATCGCTGCTCCATTTGAAAGCTGATGCCGAAGGCATGAAACAACTGGCGTTAAACTGTTGAACTGTTGGAATGTCACTGTCTTGAAGAAATGGACGATTGGAGCGAACATATTAACTGGCAAAATTGATCGTCAGTCATCATCATCCCATGTGTAAACGATGGAGTATTTCTAATTGGTAAATGGCAGCTGAGAGATTCCTTACAACATTCACTGTGCTACAAATTACAATAGTTAACCCCTATTTACTACGATATAGTACAAACTTACTACAAACCTACTGCCTGAAGGTAGTACATAAGGCATATATATATCGAATACAGTGTTGCTCAGACCTCATCAACCTTGCTCAGGCTCTTGGAAGCTTCTGCATGTACTGTCACCACCTTTATCAACTTTCAGCCAAAAGTCGGCTATTGCACATGACGTTGCTATGTACACTCAAATAGCGCCCAGCATGACTTGGAGCTAGTACTAGATCACCGAAGAAATTTTCAGTTTTTCTCGGGATCCACTGTCCATTCAGTCACCAAGGCTTTACTTTACCCAGACAACCAATGTTCAGATCCGAGATCCTTCAATAAGGGAGATAAGTAAATAGTGGGTGGCTTGTGCTTTGCTGTTTGCTCCATCACTGTTGGCTTAACACAAGCATTACTTTTCATGATCATCCTGCAATGGGGGAACCCGTTTTAGTTAGTCCTAAAGCTACCCTTTCCTTTTCAGGAATCATTTTATAAACTTTTCATGCAAGTCTTTAATGGATCACAACTATGATCATGGTAGCTGCGGTACTACAAGTTTTTGAGAAGAAAGAGATTCACCTTTGCTTGTTGGTACCTCTTGAGCATCCTACGGTACTGCTGCATTGCTTTAGGGCTACCAATGATACATGATACCCTTGAAACAGCTTCATCAATGGCTGTTTCCACTCTGAGCTTCCGGAAAACCTTGGCAACGTCTTCGTCCACCTCTTCATCAATAGGCATCGCCCCAGAATTGAATCCACGCAAACCAACACCTTTACGGTACCACCGTATCATCACCTTCTCAAGGACTCCGACGCTTGAAAGTAATTCCTTGTACTTCTTTCTTTCTTGATGAGCTCTCACCCGGGCCTATCAGGATGACAATAAGAATTACCCATTTGAGGTTTTAATACATATTGTGATTACTCTGCACGTGTTACATACACTTGAGAGATCCGATCACTATAAGCACAACATTGCAAAAGACTTACCTGTATCCTGACAACATTATTTCGTATCCTCAGGAATACTTTACGTTTTTTCCAGCACCTGAAGTTCTTCTGAATAGATAATGCAGCTTTCTCCAGCATACCATGTGAAACTGCTCCTGTCTCACTAATGGACAAGCAGCAGCTATTTCTGCTCTGAAGAGCCATCTCTTTCTTTTTCTTAAAGGAAAAAATTCGGAACGCAGCTTGTATGCGTCCTGCAGCCTGAACTGCATTCCGGACAGCTCCTAGGGAATCCTTAAGCGCAAGCTGATCATCAGTTCCACCATGCACGTGGCTGCTTTTGTCTGATATTCTGTCCACAGCACAACATATCCCCCCTTCCGTAGAATCAAGTTTTCCATTTTCTTTTGATTCGATAGAATCAAGATGAGTTGTTAATTGTGCTTCTGAAAGGAATGCAGATAGGCCCTTGAAACCATATGCCAAAGCTATTGAAGCAGGTGTTTTGGCAGCAGGATCCTCTGATGTCGGATGTGAAAGTGCACCAGCTGCAGCACCAGCAGTAAGAAGAGACGCCACCATATCTTCTCTGTTTTTTAATAGAAAACTATGAAGTCAGTAAGAAAAAGAGCTTAGAGAAAACCATTACATAAGAGATCAACTGCCCAAATTGTGCAAGTAAAATTTTGTGTCTAGGTCCAAAAATAAGAAGGCTCCTGGCAATGAATGAATGGTAAATAGGAGAAATATAACCAACAAGATCCACTTGAAACTTGAACATGAATAAAATAGCATTACGCTGCATATGATGTAAAGAGTTTTGTATACGGAGTACCTGCCAAACCTTGCAGCCCAATGTAGAGCAGTCCATCCATTTGCATCACGGTAGTTTATAGGCACTCCAGAACTAAGCAGTGGCTTCAAAGCCAAGACATATCCCAAGGCTGCAATCATATGTATAATACTGTGGTATTGCTTAGGAAGCAAATGGTCTCCGTCAATATTCTGTTCACATTTAGATGACAGCCATTGCTTAAACTTGTCATTAAGCAATGCTTCCATGACACTATTTACTGTATTCTCAGGGTCCAGCTGCTCATACGCCTTCTTTATGATATCCATTTGGTTGATTTGGAATTCACAGCTGAGATTTGGGAGTTGCAAGCTAAAATTTGAAAATAGCCCAGAAGCATGACCATCAAAAAGCGTCTGAACATAGTGTAGTAACAGTGACAACTCGTCACTACTTTTGGTAGGTATCTGATCGGTTTTGGAATCTCGTGCTTCATTGCAGGGGCTCCTGCTTCCATCAATCATGCCTTTGGTAGGCTTTTCAAGGAATTCAAATTCTCGTGCTTCACTACAGGACTTCCCATTCCCATCGATCAAGCACATTCTCACTTTTCCAGTATTAAGGCATGGAGTATGGCAACGGATGACACCTTGCTGGATAATTTCCACAGGTACCTTAACATCACCAAACAGCACTTCCCATGAACCGTGAGGGGGATTGCAAAGGAAGTCTCCTACAATGATAACCTGCATTACATTTTCATAAGTCTACAACCATTGTAGTTCTCAACACAGGTTTGTCCCAACTGATAGGTTCTTTTTCGTTTCATTGGGCCCAGAGATGGACTCGGGCTTAAAGCTATCAGATCAAAATACTTTATATAGTATTACTCCCTCAATTCCAAAAGTAACTCGTTTTTAGACTTTGCCACTCACAAGTCACTATAGGATTCTAGGAACCTGTCCCCCATTTTTTCTTCTTATGCCTTGCTAACTAATCCACTAATCGCAGGTAATAAGGTCATTTGAATCATTTCAACACTTTATTAATTCCTATGCACAAGCCTAAAACAACTTATATTTGCAATCAGAGTATATAAGTACCACATGAGGATATGGACGTGTTGTTCAATATCATGCCAATAGAAAAGAAGAAAGAAGGATGCATGTTGCAGTAATTTAATCAAGACTAGTAACGCCATATGATACCTTTGTACTTTCAGAAGAAAACGCTGATTCTGGAGAAACCTCATGGATCTTGAACCATTGATTTTCAGTCAGTGTCATACACGCTGGATGCAGAATTACCTCAAGTTGATCATCCTCTAACCATGTGTCTGAATATTAAAACATACATGCAACAAATCCTAAGAAAGATTTCCACTATGTCTCAGACGGTTCTTAGCAATGAAATAATTGGAATACATGTGTTACTGCACCTGAATTTTTTAGCACATCAATAGCACTGGGACATGGGTGGGTTCCAGTTCCATTGATATGATCTTCAC